GGCTGGTTTCGAACTCATGACCTCTTGGTCTGTAGTGATTTAATGCAGCTGACTCCTCCTACTTGACAGATGCAACTGTCTTTCAGACTGCAGAGGCCAACAGCAAGCTAGACTATTAATTGTTGTGAGCTAGACTATTAATGGTCGGGAGCTCACTCTGACCCAGGCTGGTTTTGAACTCATGACCTCTTGGTTAGTAATGATTTAATGCAGATGACTCCTACTTAAATTTCCTACTTGATGGATGCAATTATCTTTCAGGCTGCAAAGGTCGACAGCAAGCTAGACAAATGGTCGGGAGCTTACTCCCACCCAGGCTGGCTTCTAACTAGCTGCCCCACAGTACTGCAAACTGTTGTGCTCCAATGCTAGGGAGTCCTAGAAGTCTGAGGACGTGTCCCATGTATTCAGCATCGATTTTTCTCAATGCAATGCAATGCAATACCGCTTCCGTTCTGTAGTGCAACTGCTAATCCAGCTCATCTCTGAATTCCTTTTGCAGAGCAACAAGCCACAGAGTCCTTTTCACAAAGGTAGGTGTTGTCTCGGAGCAACTTTGACCCATTTTCCAGCCCCAGAGGGAATCCCATGGTGTCTCCTCTTCTTTGCATTGCACATGGGGCCACGCAGGAGTACATCTTGGAAGAGTCGTTGTGGGAGTACTATAACAGCTATGGGCGAAACTGGGCCCTCCAGATGTTTTGGACTTCAACTCCTATCATTCCTAACAACCTCAGGCTGCTGCTGTTCTCTTTCAAAGGAGCAGTGTGCTAAAACCGAGTTTTAAATTCTCTGTGTTATTGTTTATATGTAAGTTTCTGTATATACTCGAGTATAAGCCTAGTTTTTCAGCCCTTTTTTTAGGCTGAAAAAGTCCCTCTTGGCATATATTCAAATTAAGGTTATTTATTATTTTATCTTGTTAGAAATGCATAATAAATTGTTGTTGTTGTTGTTGTTACATTGATCATTCTACTTTATTATTGTTTTTATTATATTTACTAGCTGTACCCGCCATGCGTTGCTGTGGCCAACCTTCCCTCCCTCTTTCTCTCCTCCCTTCCCTCTTTCCTTCCTTTCCTCTTTTTCTTTCCCTATCTCTTCTTTCTTCCATCTCTACCTGTTTCTTTCCCCCCTTTCTTTGCTCTTTGGTTACTTCCCTCCCTCCATCCCTCCCTCGCTCCCTTCCTTCCCTATCTTTCGTTCCTTCTCTCCTTCCTTCCCTCTCTTTTTCATTTCACTTTTTTATTTCCTTCTCTCCTTCCTTCCCTCTCACTTTTTTATTTCCTTCTCTCCTTCCTTCCCTCTCTTTTTCATTTCACTTTTTTATTTCCCTCTCTCCTTCCTTCCCTCTCTTTTTCATTTCACTTTTTTATTTCCTTCTCTCCTTCATTCCCTCTCTTTTTCATTTCACTTTTTTATTTCCTTCTCTCCTTCCTTCCCTCTCTTTTTCATTTCACTTTTTTATTTCCTTCTCTCCTTCCTTCCCTCTCTTTTTCATTTCACTTTTTTATTTCCTTCTCTCCTTCCTTCCCTCTCTTTTTCATTTCACTTTTTTATTTCCTTCTCTCCTTCCTTCCCTCTCTTTTTCATTTCACTTTTTTATTTCCTTCTCTCCTTCCTTCCCTCTCTTTTTCATTTCACTTTTTTATTTCCTTCTCTCCTTCCTTCCCTCTTTTTCATTTCACTTTTTTATCCTTCCTTCCCTCTCTTTTTCATTTCACTTTTTTATTTCCTTCTCTCCTTCCTTCCCTCTCTTTTTCATTTCACTTTTTTATTTCCTTCTCTCCTTCCTTCCCTCTCTTTTTCATTTCACTTTTTTATTTCCTTCTCTCCTTCCTTCCCTCTCTTTTTCATTTCACTTTTTTATTTCCTTCTCTCCTTCCTTCCCTCTCTTTTTCATTTCACTTTTTTATTTCCCTCTCTCCTTCCTTCCCTCTCTTTTTCATTTCACTTTTTTATTTCCTTCTGTCCTTCATTCCCTCTCTTTTTCATTTCACTTTTTTCCTTCCTTCCCTCTCTTTTTCATTTCACTTTTTTATTTCCTTCTCTCCTTCCTTCCCTCTCTTTTTCATTTCACTTTTTTATTTCCTTCTCTCCTTCCTTCCCTCTCTTTTTCATTTCACTTTTTTATTTCCTTCTCTCCTTCCTTCCCTCTCTTTTTCATTTCACTTTTTTATTTCTTCCCTCTCTTTTTCATTTCACTTTTTTATTTCCTTCTCTCCTTCCTTCCCTCTCTTTTTCATTTCACTTTTTTATTTCCTTCTCTCCTTCCTTCCCTCTCTTTTTCATTTCACTTTTTTATTTCCCTCTCTCCTTCCTTCCCTCTCTTTTTCATTTCACTTTTTTATTTCCTTCTCTCCTTCATTCCCTCTCTTTTTCATTTCACTTTTTTATTTCCTTCTCTCCTTCCTTCCCTCTCTTTTTCATTTCACTTTTTTATTTCCTTCTCTCCTTCCTTCCCTCTCTTTTTCATTTCACTTTTTTATTTCCTTCTCTCCTTCCTTCCCTCTCTTTTTCATTTCACTTTTTTATTTCCTTCTCTCCTTCCTTGCTTCTCTATCTTTCTTTCTTCTTTCCCTCCCTCCTTCTCTCCTTCCTTCCTCCCCTCTTTCCCTCTTTCTCTCGTTACTTCTTGACCGTCTCTTCCATTTAATATTGTATTTATGTCTTACATAGAAAGAAGGAAAGGAAGAAGGAAGGGAGGGAAGGAAAGAAGGGAAGGAAGGAAAAGAAAGAAGGAGGGACAGGAAGGGAGGGAGGGAGGGAGGGGGATGAAGGAAGGAGGGAGGGAAGGAAATGAAGGGGAAGGAAATGAAGAAAGGGAAAGAAGGAGGAAAGGGAGGGAAGGAGGAAGGAAAAAGGAAGAGGGGGAAAGAAGGGAAGGAAGGAAAAGAAAGAAGGAGGGACAGGAAGGGAGGGGGAGGAAGGAAGGAGGGAAAGAAAGGAGGGAGGGAAGGAAATGAAGGGGAAGGAAATGAAGAAAGGGAAAGAAGGAGGAAAGGGAGGGAAGGAGGAAGGAAAAAGGAAGGGGGGGAAAGAAGGGAAGGAAGGAAAAGAAAGAAGGAGGGACAGGAAGGGAGGGGGAGGAAGGAAGAAGGAAGGAAGGAGGAAGGAAGGAAGGAAGGAGGGAAAGAAAGGAGGGAGGGAAGGAAATGAAGGGGAAGGAAATGAAGAAAGGGAAAGGAGGAGGAAAGGGAGGGAAGGAGGAAGGAAAAAGGAAGGGGGGAAAGAAGGGAAGGAAAGAAAAGAAAGAAGGAGGGACAGGAAGGGAGGGGGAGGAAGGAAGAAGGAAGGAAGGAGGAAGGAAGGAAGGAAGGAGTGAAGAAAGGAGGGAGGGAAGGAAATGAAGGGGAAGGAAATGAAGAAAGGGAAAGAAGGAGGAAAGGGAGGGAAGGAGGAAGGAAAAAGGAAGGGGGGAAAGAAGGGAAGGAAGGAAAAGAAAGAAGGAGGGACAGGAAGGGAGGGGGAGGAAGGAAGAAGGAAGGAAGGAGGAAGGAAGGAAGGAAGGAGGGAAAGAAAGGAGGGAGGGAAGGAAATGAAGGGGAAGGAAATGAAGAAAGGGAAAGAAGGAGGAAAGGGAGGGAAGGAGGAAGGAAAAAGGAAGGGGGGGAAATGAAGGAAGGAAAGAAAAGAAAAAGAAGGAGGAAAGGAAGGGAGGGGAGGAAGGAAAGAAGAAGGAAGGGAGGGAAAGAAAGGAGGGAGGGAGGAAGAAGGGAAGGAAAGAAGAAAGGAAAGAGAGGAAAGGAGGGAAGGAGGAAGGAAAGAGGGAAGGGGGAAAGAAGGAAGAAAAGAAAAGAAAGAAGGAGGGACAGGAAGGGAGGGAAAGAAAGGAGGGAGGGGGAAGGAAATGAAGAGGAAGGAAATGAAGAAAGGGAAAGAAGGAGGAAAGGGAGGGAGGGAGGAAGAGAAAAAAAGGAAAGGAAAAAGGAAGGAGGGACAGGAAGGAAGGGAAGGAGGGAAAGAAGGAAAGGAAGGAGAAGGAAAGAAGAAAAGGAAAGAAAGGAAAGGGAGGAAAGAAGGGAAGGGAGGGAGAGAAGGAAGATCCTTCATTCAAGCACCGTGGACCTTCCTCGCCTCCTCCTCCTCCTCTCCCCTTCTTCTGTACTTTCCAATAGGGAAATAATTACTGTTATTATTACATTTCCATTATTTTACTCTATTAATAGTAGTATAGTAGTAGTATTATTACATTTATTATTTAACTCTATTTTTATTGGAAGGATATGCAAGCACATTTACACTGAAGAAGGTTAGAATAATGGTTTAATCAGAGTTCTTACATTATAGTTTTATGTAAATATTCAAAACATTTAACCTACTGATGCCTCAATTAATGTAATTGTATTGTATCTATTTTTATTTTGGAATTTACCAGTAGCTGCTGCCTTTCCCACCCTCGGCTTATACTCGAGTCAATACGTTTTCCCAGTTTTTTGTAGTAAAATTTGGTGCCGCGGCTTACATTCGGGTCGGCTTATACTCGAGTATATACGGTATATTAATTGTACTGTCTTATTTGCTTGCTGTTTTGTTATTTTACTGATTTGTTGTTGGGCTTGGCTTCATGTAAGCTGCCCCGAGTCCCCTTGGGGAGATGGTGGCAGGGTATAAATTAATTTATTATTATTATTATTATTATTATTATTATTATTATTATTATTATTATTCCAAATGGGAAGTTTAATGTCGGCTGGGAAGTTGCATTGCACTTGCTTTTTTGGTCACCTTTACATACAAATAGCTTTGCCTCTTTGAAAGGACTCTAACCCAAACTGCCTTCTTCAACAGGTCATGAGTGATAATGACTTCCATGTGCTGGCTGTTGACTACAGAGGTAAGTGGGGCTGGACAAATAAAGGCTAGGACAGGCTTGGGCAAACTTGGGCCCTCCATGTATTTTGGACTTCAACTCCCAGAATTCTTAACAGCCGACCAGCTGTTAGGAATTGTGGGAGTTGTAGTCCAAAACACCTGGCAAGCCAAAGTTTGCCTATGCCTGGTCTAGAAAGTGAACCATTAGCCATTTGTATTGGGAACTAGCCGTCCTCTGCTGGGTGTTGCTGTGTATATGTGTTTTGTGTATGTATACATGCATAGATGGGTGTGTATATATTTGTGTATATGTGTATATATGTATGTTTGTGTATGTATATGTGGTGCGCATGCATTGTAATTTTTTTTTTGTTTTTTGGCTTTTTAAGTCCCTTCCACTGTGTTTTGCAGTGTTTTTATGAGTGATGGTCACTCATTGGCCTAATAGGTGTCTTGTGTCCAAATTTGGTGTCAATTCGTCCAGTGGTTTTTGAGTTATGTTAATCCCACAAACTAACATTACATTTTTATTTATTACTAGCTGTACCCGCCACACGTTGCTGTTCCTTCCTTCCTTCCTTCCTTCCTTCCTTCCTTCCTTCCCCTCCTTCCTTCCTTCCTTCCTTCCTTCCTTCCTTCCTTCCTTCCTTCCCTTTTTTTCTTTCCTTCTCTCCTTCCTTCGTTCTCTTCCTCTTCCCTTACTTCCCCGCTTTTCTTTCACTTCCCCTTTCTGCCCTTTCTCCCTTCTCTACCTATTCTTTGACTGCAACTCCCAGCAGTCCTCCTGATCTATCTATCTATCTATCTATCTATCTATCTATCTATCTATCTATCATCTGTCTGTCTGTCTGTCTATCTATCTATTTATCTATCCATCTATCTCTGTCTAATCTATCTATCTGGAGGATTGCTGGGAGGTGCAGTCCAGGAATAGGAAATTGGAAATATGCAGGGATTGGGATGCTCTCAAAGAAATCCAAGGAGTAGAAAGCTTGCATCTTGGAAGCAGTGCATTTGGATCATCCCCCTCTCCTAAAAGGCCTGGTTTAGGGGATGCTGGGAGCTGTAGTCCGGAAGAGAGTGTGGATATGCTATTGTGTGTTTTGCTTGCCGGGGGGAGTTGTTTTTGTGCATGTGCTGTAGCGTCTTTTTGTTTTTTGGCTTTTTAAGTCTCTTCTGCAGTGTTTTTCCGTGCTTTTATGAGTGATGGTCACTCGTTGGCCTGAGAGGTGTATTGTGTCCAAATTTGGTGTCAATTCGTCCAGTGGTTTTTGAGTTATGTTAATCCCACAAACGTACATTACATTTTTATTTATATAGACTAGCTGTACCAGCCATGCGTTGCTGTGGCCAACCTTCCCTCCCTCTTTCTCTCCTCCTTTCTTTCCTTCTTTCCTTCTTTCCTTCCTTCCTTCCTTCCCTTTTTTTCTTTCCTTCTCTCCTTCTTTCCTTCCCTTCCTTCCCCACTTTTCTTTCCCTCCCTCTTTCTCTCCTCCTTTCTTTCCTTCTTTCCTTCCCTTCCCTCCCTCTTTCTCTCCTCCTTTCTTTCCTTCTTTCCTTCTTTCCTTCCTTCCTTCCTTCCCTTTTTTTCTTTCCTTCTCTCCTTCTTTCCTTCCCTTCCTTCCCCACTTTTCTTTCCCTCCCTCTTTCTCTCCTCCTTTCTTTCCTTCTTTCCTTCTTTCCTTCCTTCCTTCCTTCCCTTTTTTTCTTTCCTTCTCTCCTTCTTTCCTTCCCTTCCTTCCCCACTTTTCTTTCCCTTCCCCTTTCTCCCCTTTCTTCCTTCTCTACCTATTCTTGGACTGCAACTCCCAGGAGTTCTCCTGATTCCATCTATCTATCTATCTATCTATCTATCTATCTATCTATCTATCTAATCTATCTATCTGGAGGATTGCTGGGCGTTGCAGTCCAGGAATAGGAAATTGGAAATATGCAGGGATTGGGATGCTCTCAAAGAAATCCAAGGAGAAGAAAGCTTGCATCTTGGAAGCAGTGCATTTGGATCATCCCTCTCCTAAAGGGCCTGGTCTAGGGGATGCTGGGAGCTGTAGTCCGGAAGAGAGTGTGGATATGCTATTGTGTGTTTTGTTTGCCAGGGGAGTGGTTTTGTGCATGTGTTGTAATGTATTTTTTTGTTTTTTGGCTTTTTCAGTCCCTTCCTCTGTGTTTTTCCGTGCTTTTATGAGTGATGGTCACTCATTGGCCTGAGAGGTGTCTTGTGTCCAAATTTGGTGCCAATTCGTCCAGTGGTTTCTAAGTTATGCTAATCCCACAAGCAAACATCACATTTTTATTTATACAGATATATAGGTTTAGATTTTCCAAATGCTGTGGCCCAATCTGGTGATCTGGAAAATAAAGTAATGAGAAAGCGTTGGTTTCTAATATATGTAATTTCTTTATGCTTGTGGGTAAACAGTATTTCTTGTTGTTTCTTTGTCAGTGTTGATGTGGAGATTGTCTGGTTTGCCTACTCTGGAACATGCAACATATAATTGGCCTTCTCCAGGAGTCCCTTTCAAATCTATGATACTATATATCTCTCTGTGTGTGAATCATATCTATCTATATAGCTGGATGACCCTTTGTCAGGAGAGCTGTGATTACATTTTCTTGCCCTGGTGAAGGAAGTTGGACAGGATGGCCTTAAGTATTTCCTGTTGGTCATGAAGGTTGTGTGTGGGAACTTTTGGCCCAATTCTGTTGTTGCTGGAGTTCAGAATGCTCTTTGATTGTAGGTGAACTATAACTCCCAGTAAACTACAACTCCCAAATGTCAAGGTCTATTTTCCCCAAACTCCATCTGTGTTCATATTTGGGCAAATGGAATATTTGTGCCAAGTTTGGTCTAGATCCATCATTGTTTGAGTCCACAGTGCTCTCTGTATTTAGGTGAACTACATCTCCCAAACTCAAGGTCAATGCCCACCAAACCCTTCTAGTGTGTTCTGTTGGTCATGGAAGTCCTGTATGCCATGTTTGGTAAAATTCCATCATTGGTGGAGTTCAGAATGCTCTTTGATTGTAGGTGAACTATAAATCACAGCAACTACAACTCCCAAAGGACAAAATCATTTTTTTTGAGTGAAGGACATACATTGGGTTGTTAGATGTATTGTGGCCAAATTTGGTGTCAATTCGTCCAGTGGTTTTTGAGTTCAGTTAATCCCACAAATGAACATTACGTTTTTATTTATATAGATTTTAACATGTGCATTTACAGAATTTTTCAGTGCTTATGTGTTTTAATTATGCTGTTACCCACCTTGAGCAATGAGGAAAGGTGGGTTAAAATAATAATAATTATTATTATTATTAGATACACAACAAGATGAGTACACAGCAAACAACATCACTCTCCTGGCTGTCGTATTCGATCCCACATTGAATCATAGAATCATAGAATCAAAGAGTTGGAAGAGACCTCATGGGCCATCCAGTCCAACCCCATTCTGCCAAGAAGCAGGAATATTGCATTCAAATCACCCCTGACAGATGGCCATCCAGCCTGCTTAAAAGCTTCCAAAGAAGGAGCCTCCACCACACTCCGGGGCAGAGAGTTCCACTGCTGAACAGCTCTCACAGTCAGGAAGTTCGTCCTAATGTTCAGGTGGAATCTTCTTTCCTGTATTTTGAAGCCAGTGTTCCGCGTCCAATCTCCAGGCAGCAGAAAGGAAGCTTGCTCCCTCCTCCCTATGACTTCCTCTCACATATTTACATGGCTATCATATCTCCTCTCAGCCTTCTCTTCTTCAGGCTAAACATGCCCAGTTCCCTAAGCCGCTCCTCATAGGGCTTGTTCTCCAGACCCTTGATCATTTTAGTCGCCCTCCTCTGGACACATTCCAGCTTGTCAATATCTCTCTTGAATTGTGGTGCCCAGAATTGGACACAATATTCCAGATTGTAGCACTTCCCAAGTGTCTAGGACTGTGTGATGTATCTGTCGCACCTCAGAGTAGATTCACCTTGCTGAAATCACCAAGCTGCACCTGGACTGAAGTCTTTGTAGTTTATTGAAAAGTCAAAGATAAAGAGTTCTTAAAAGCAAGCAATGTTCCAAAAGATCAATAAAACATAGCACTGTAAAGCAGGATTCCAAGAGGCACAAACAACACGAAATCTCATGAGAGCATGACAAAGTCCTGAGGCCATGGACACAAGAACTACAAGATAATCCAGGAAAACGAGCACAAGCTGCTCGGTTGAGCGCAAAGTTGCTCTGACAAAAGTTTGTTTTCAAACACACGGCTTAATACTCTTTGCAATACATGAAAGCATTTCTTTGGCCTCTGACCTCCTTCTTGTTGGCTATTCTCACACTCCTTCGAACTCTGAATTCCAAACAGTCAGCCCGATCCAAGGTTCCCGTTTCATTAAGATCAGGCTGCTCATTAGTGTCAGCCTGGTTGCCTTCCTGCCTACTATCAGGCTGAGAACTGTCCTCTTTTTCTGAGTCAATTTGCACCTGGCTACTTTCAGTATCAGAAACCTCATTCCCTGTTGTTGGAAACTGAACTTGCACACCCTGTTCCTCATTGTCTACAACAGGAACAATTTGAACCTGACTCCGAACCTGAATCGCATCATCCTAGTCAGAGTCACACTGAGACCCTCTCAGTCACAACACTATCAGTCTGTGGTTCCAGCTGAGTCGCAACAGTATCCCAGTAGGGTGGCCCTTTGCAGCTGACAGGTGGGGTATTGTCGAAGGCTTCATGGCCGGAATCACTGGGTTGTTGTAGGTTTTTCCGGGCTATATGGCCATGTTGTAGAGGTATTTTCTCCTGACGTTTTGCCTGCATCTATGGCAAGCATCCTCAAGCATCCTCACTACCTCTGAGGATACTTGCCATCTATGGCAAGCATCCTCAAGCATCCTCACTACCTCTGAGGATACTTGCCATAGATTCAGGCGAAACGTCAGGAGAAAATGCCTCTAGAACATGACCATATAGCCCGGAAAAACCTACAACAACCCAGTGACAGGTGGTGATTTTGTCAGCACCAATTGTTTTTAAG